TAATTTGGATCATTGATTCCCTATATGTAGTTTTTTTTTTTTTCTGGCTGCTTTCAAGTTTTTCTCTTTGTCTTTGGCCTCTAGGGGTTTATGGGTTTATGATGAGCTCACATGTGCTTTTCTTTGTGTTCAGCCTGCTTGGGTTTCTTTGAGCTTCTAGGATCTGCAAGTTTACGTTTTCCAGAAAATATGGGGACATTTTGGCCGTTGTTTCTTTAAATATTTTCCTCCACTATTCTCTCTCTCCTCTCTTTCTGGGATTTTTCAATTACATACAAATTATACAACATGATAGTGTCCCGTAGGTCACTGAGGATCTATTCTTTTTTAAATATTTCTTTTCTTTCTGTTCTTCAGAGTATATAATATCTATTGATCTCTCTTCAAGTTCACTACATTCTCTTCTGCCCACTCCAATCTGCTATCAAGCCTTTTCATTTCATATATTTTAATTTTCAGTTCTAGAATTCCCATTTGGTTCTTTTTTATAGTTTTCATTTCTCTGTCGAAATTTTCCATCCAATATTTCATTATGATCATATTTCCCTTTAAGTTCTTTAAAATATGTATAACAACAGCTTTAAAGTCTTTATCTGCTAATTCTACTCTCTAGCTCATCTTGACATCTATTTCTTTCTTTTTTGAAAACCTACTTGATTAGGGTATGATTGACATACAAAAAGCTGTATGTATTTAATGTACACAACTTGATGAGTTTGGAGATAAGTATACACCCATGAAACCATCACCACAACCTATACCATAAACTTATCCATTACCTCCAGGGTCTGTTTCTATTGATGACTATTTCTCTTGTGTGGACATTTTCCTGTTTCTTTGTATATGCAATAACTTTTTATTGTTATGGACGTTATAAACAACGTGTTGTACAGACTCTGAATTCTGTTACCTTGCTCTATGTGCTCATTATTATTCAAGCAGCCAATTAATTTGACTAGACTCACATTCCAAACTCTATCCTTGGTGAGTAGCAGCTGAAATCACTGCTCAGTTTTTTCAAATCATTAACTGTTGCACCTTTGCTGGGCTCCTTAGAATCTCTTCCATATATGTGTCGCTCAAAGGTCAGCCAAGGACTTGTATGACCTTTATTTGTAAATTTTGGATCCCTCCCTTGCAACTTCCTCCTTCCTAGATTCCCCCTTATTTTCAGCCTTTATGAAAGCCATAAACTCCATCCTCTTACTTCTCTAGCCAGTAAGACTGTGCCCTTCTTCTTGAATTATAGCCACTCTGCATCTCATGGACTGAGAAGTACTTCCGGGCCCAAAGTCACACACACATAAATCTCAGCTGTTGCAGTTCAAGATCATCTCCCTTCCAGCTTCTGCATGTTTTCAGTTTATCTCAGTACCTTCAAAAAAGTTGTTTTTAAAAAATATTTTAGCCAGAGTTTATAATTGTTATCTTCAGGAGGACAGACTATTAAAAGCTACTCCACCATTACCACAGGGTAACTAAGCTATTATTTAGTCTTGCCATTGTATTATCTTTATCAAAAAGGAAAATATTTGCTATTAATATGTCTATGTTAATTGTTCTTTCCCAATAAATCTTAAGTGGTTGGATTTGTTAAAATATTCTTTTGCTCTATTCCTTCTTTAAATGAGAGAATAAGACAATCAGATGAGTTCTGAATTATGTAATGCCTCCAGGGTACTATACAAATTCTTACAATATATGTTGTAAATGTAATGAGAGAAGTACAAAACAAGTTGTAGGAACCCAGAGGAGGAAGAGATCAGAGGTTATTTCCTAGAGGAGGTTACCTTTAAGCTAGCTGTCAAAAGATGATAGGAATTTACCAGCCAGAGCTGAGAGAGAACATTCTAGAAGGAACATTATAAGCAATGCAAAAAAGTGGGAGCTTGGAGGCTCAAGTCTTACTGGCATAAGTATAATTTATAACTCAAAATCAAGACTTAAAATTTCATGGTGTGAACATACTGCTAGACACAATATGGATAACTCTCACACCAATTTTAAAAGAAAAAAGTCAGGGGCTGGCCACGTGGCCGAGTGGTTGAGTTCACGCACTCTGCTTCAGCGGCCCAGGGTTTCTCTGGTTCGGATCCTGGGAGCAGACATGGCACCACTCATCAGGCCATGCTGAGACGGCGTCCCACATGCCACAACTGGAAGGACCCACAACTAAAAATACGCAACTATGTACCAGGGGGCTTTGGGGAGAAAAGGCAGGAAAAAAAAAGAAGATTGGCAACAGCTGTTAGCTCAGGTGCCAATCTTTAAAAAAAAGAAAAGTTTAGAAAAAAAGAATAAAGCCAGATAGAAAAGAATACATACTATAATAATCCATTTATGTAAAGTTTGAAAACAGAAAAATAATAGCTGGTACTGGAATTCAGGACAGTGGCGACCTCTGAGTTATGGCAGCCGCTGCAAGGGAGCACAAGGGGGGCCTCTGGGCTGCTCGGAATGCTCTTTCTTGCTCCGGATGCTGGTTACCCAGCGTGTCCGCTTCATGAGAAACGTACCAACTGATGACCTTATGACTAGTGGCTTTTCAAAAATGAATGTTATACTGCAATAAAATATTTGTGGTCAAAAAACCCCCCAATTTCTGTTGTGAAAAAAAAAGTTTATGTTATCTATTTCCATATATTAATTCATTATTTCCTCACGACAGCCGTACGGAAGATCAGTGATACTGAATTTTATCTGAAATTGGATTATATAAATCTGAAATACTATGATGTAAAATAACAATAATAAATTATTGCTTTATACACAAAGTTCGAAATAATTCAGACCTCCAAATTTAAAAAATAAAACAAAATTTCGGTTTTTTTCAAAGCTGGTACAGTCTGAGTAGTAAGATATATTTACACTGAAGTTTCTGCAGAGAGGCACTACTTGAGTAAATAAAAATACCCTGTGTTATTTAGGATAAGCGTTCAGCAAACGTAACAAATAACAGTAGATTAAACAGGACAGTGATGTTCTCTCGTCTCGTAGTTTGAGCATAAGCAGCTGGTGGCTGATACGGCAGCTCTACAGCGCCAGCACCCATGCGCTTTCCATTTTGTTGCTCTGTCCTCCGGAACAGGCAGTTTTCCACCTTTGATCTAAGATGGCTGCCACACTACCACCATCACGTCTGTATTCCAGTGAGTCAAATCACTACAATTCTTTACCACTGGCCAGAAAAGACATATAAAGCTACAAGGGAAGCTGGGAAATATCGTTTCTGGCTGGGTAGCACACTGAAGATCAGCCAGCAGTCCTTTCCATACCTGCCATTCTTTGTGTGGCTGTCTTGAATTATGTGAGTTCAGAATTAGGAAACGCCTCCGGGAATAGACCCTGTATGTAAAATTCAGCTGCCCTGGAGATAAGAATATCTCTATTTTACAGAAGATGTAACTGAGACTCAGAGAAGTTACATGACTTACTCGCTGTATATTGCTAATTAAAGGACAGAGCTAGGACTCAAATTCAGCGCTCCACACGCTGGATTTTTGCTTTTATGCTACAGATGCCTCTCCAGGGAGTTTTTCTTCTAGCTTCAAGAATGCTGGTAATCCTGAGTCTGAGAGAAAGTGAGACTCCTGCTGTATCTAAGCTGCGTGGCACAGGGAAAGGAGGGAGACAGGAGACAGCGGGAGGACTTCACTCTCAGGACACAGGAGTAGAGCCGACGACCTGAGCTGTGTTTGGCTCTAAAGGTTCAAGAACTCAGGACGCAGGAAAATACAGTAAAAAGCACCTGGGCCGTGAAGTGGTGACGTGCGTTTGTGGTTCTGCGTCTGGACTAAAAGGCAGATTAGATGAGTGCCCTAGTTATTTTTCCCTCCCAATCTTTAGTTTCCCTATTCATAATACGGGGAGGAGGATTGGGGTAGAGTTGCAGAAAAAAAAGTCATGCAGGTTGCACATAATTTTTTAAATTCACCAAGCAGAAGATTCTGGATCAGAGTAGAGGGGTACAGCATAGCTTCGATCCTAATCCCTTCAGAAATACTCCTGGTAAATTATCAAAATGTTGGGATTCTCAGGAATGCTACAAAATCTGGAGAGATAAACCATCAAGGAGGGATCCTTATTTCCCTTCTGACAAGGGGACTTGGAAGAAACAGGTAAATTGGAAAGTGATGTGTCTGATTCTTCCTGAGAGAAGTGAAGTCTTCAGGACGCCACAGAAATGTTCCAAAGCCGCTGGGGTGGGGGTAGAGAGGGATGACTTCATCCTCAACCAGGCAGGGCAAACCCTGATACAGGATGTTCATAGACTCTCGGGGGAGTGAGGAGGGCCTAAATAGTTTAACAAAGACCGCGTAGGACCTAAAACGAAGGCTGCCCCACCCCAGCCCGCAGGTCACAGACAGGTGGAGAAAACCCAGAATACCCAGTTCTCACGTGTTGCTGGGAGGGAAAAACACACTGGTGCCAGACAATGGGCGAGGACGTACTACATCAGAGCAAGCAGAATGTCTGGGCAGAGCTGCCCAAGTGTGTGCAAGGGGAAGAGAAATGACACGGCGACTGTGCTGATTTATTATATGAGTGTCAGTATTTCACCCACAACCAACAAAAGAAAGGAGGGCAGGGAGGGAGGGAGAACCATGGGCTGCAAAAGACAAAGAGTCACCCAGAAAACAAGCATAACTCAAAGAACAGAAGGAATTTTCTCACAATTTCTTCACATTATAGCGCAGCTTGAGAGGAGCATAAATTGGAGTTCAACCGTGAGATGATAAACTAGCAGAATGAGATTAAAAGGGAGGTTGCAGACATAAGGAAACAAATTGAATACAAAAATACTTTATGGAACTAATAAATAAACCCTAAATAGAAAGAACAGAACAGACACTGCTGAATATTGAAATATTGACATGGAGAAAAGACTGTAAGCACACTAAATGCAGAGGGGAATGATAAAGGAAATTAATTAGAAGCTAAGAGATATGCATATTAATTTGCTACAGGCTAATCTGCTGTAACAAGGAAATCCAAAAATATAAAGCCTTAAATAAATTAGTTTATTTCTCACTCACAAAACAGTCCACAGGTAAGGAGTTCAAGGCTGGCAGGACAGCTGTGCTCCGGGAGGTCATCCAAGCCATGGTTCCTTGTATCTTGGTGCTCCATCATCTCCTCATTGCGTGGTTCCAGACCTTCTCATTCCCAGGGTTGAAGGTGGCTCCTCTCCACACCCATGGTTCAGCCCAGAGGAAGGATGAGAATGGTCCAGGGCAAGCACTCTAAGGAGATGACCCAGACGTTACACATATCACTTCTGCTCACATCTTATTGGCCTGAATTTGGTCACACGTCCACATTTAGCCACAGGGGACACTGGGAAATATAGTCTGTAACTGGATAGCCATGAGCTTAGCTAAAACTCAGGGAGTTCTATTCTAAAAGGTACCAGGAGAGAATGAATAGTTAGGTACCACAGTACGAAAGATAAAGATGAGCCAACATTGAATAACATTTAGTGTTCCCAAAACAGAGAACCCAGCAAATGAAAGAGAAGATGTATCCAGTGATAGGATAGAGGAAAATTTTCCAGAAGTTAAGAAAGAGCTGAATCTGCAGATGGAAAGAAAACATTGACTCTCAGGAAAATTTGATTTAAAGGTATTTCCTAGTTAAACATCTGAACTTCAAAGACAAAGAATGCTTCAGACATCCAGGCAGAAGGAAAAATCACCTACCAGGGGCAAACAATGGGGCTGGCCTCAGAGTTCACAGTATTCGTTGTAGAAGACAATGGTGCAGCATCTACAAGGTTTTGAGAAAAGAAGGGATGACCCCAGACATAGTTCAAGTATAAAGGCTCAGGGAAGTAAAATGCCCATGAACACTTGTCGGAAGGAACTGCTCGATAACCAAAGCCAGTCAATCAAGAAGTCAGTCAAAATAAAGATGTCAAGTATAGAGAAGCCGTGACATAAAGAGCTGCTGGTGAGCATTGGGTCCATCTACACGTAGAACTAACACGACATGATCAGAGCAGTTATGCCTGGAGAACAGAGTGTGAAGAGCATAAATCTGGACAATGTAAAATAATATGATCAAAAATTGGGAGGTGAGAGAGAGGAGAGGGGAGTAGCAAGAGAGTTCTAATGTGCTCATCTTTTGAAGCTGGGATATGCTATCCAAAATAAAAACATGATAAAAAACTTATTGTTTTTTCATAATCACCTTTAATTCAGAGAAGGGTCCACAAACTACTACCTGAGGACCGACCACTTGTTTTTGTAAACAAAGTTTCATTGGAACACAGCGTCACCAATTTGTTTACATATTATTTATGCTGCTTTTTAAAAAAATATATATATATAACAACAGATCTGAACAGCCTAAAATATGTACTATCTGGCCCTTTAAGAAAAAATTTGTCAATCCTTGCAGTGGAATCTTTTTTAACTCACAAGAATCTGGTAGTAAAGAAATATTTCTTTGAGGTTTAATAATTTGTGTTTAATTCAGCCCTTTCTCCTCCTATTAAATTCATGTCAAATTAAGTTTAATAATGTAATATAAATCCTATTTTTATAAAACGATCTATCAATCATCCTAGAGAGGCCGAGGATAGTGGATCACCTAATGATATTTGGCAAGGTTTCTTAAACTTTCATCTTTGTGTTTTTCTGCATTATTTGGAATCTTTATAATGAGCATATATCATTTTTACCAGAATAATAAAATAGAATGGGTTTTCTATGTGAAAACACTGGAAGCAAATATACCAAGATAGTAACAATGATTAATTCTGGCTGACAGGAATATGATTGCTCTTTTCTTCTTTAAGCTTTTCTATATTTTTTAAATTTTGAGAAAATTTTAAGCTATTACAGAAGGTTTAGACATAGAGTGATAGAGTTTTGGAAATAGTAATGAAATACCAGATATAAGGGACATTGTTCTATTTATAATATGATTCTTTTATAGTATTATATTCCGTATCATATTATACAGACTACAAGGCATGGCTCCAGCATAAAATATAAGGCACGACACAAAGGAGAAGCCAGAGCAGGTGATATTCGACTTCTCTTAGGCAACCAGCACATTCATAAAGCTGGTTTCTTTCACTTGCGTTAATCTCCACCTTCTGGTCCAGTCTCATCCCTGACCCTGCCCTCCTCCTCACGCCCACACCATACTCCAGCCACATAGGGCTCCTCACCTTCGATGACATCTTCACGCATTTGTATGCTATTTTGCTTTGTTGCCGCCGTTCTTTCTACCTATAATCGCATCCTCAGCCTTGGCTGCACGTCAGAATCACCGGGGGGGAGCTTTATAAAAATATGGAGGCCCAGGCTCCAGCTCAGCTATTCTGATTTAATTGCCCAGGGTTGGGGCCCAGGCAGCAGTATTTTTAAAAGCTCCTTGAATGATTCTAATATACAGCCAGGGCTGAGAGCCATTGCAAAGCCGTCTGCGATACCAGCAGGCGCAGATAATTAGTCCCTCTTCTGCACTCCCAGACCCCTTAGCTTTTCCATTGCTCGTGAAATTTAATGCTTATCGCATTACAGTTAGGGTTATATAGTAAGTGCTCAGTAAATGCTGAAGGTTGTTACATTCCTTCTCCTTCCAACCAAGCAACACACTCTCAAGTGTAACCCTCCCCTCCTACACACGCGCACACACACACACCCCCCTCGCTGCCTTTTCAGCACAGCCCTGGGGTCTGGCTTTTACATTGTTGAGACTGACACAATTTAAAGAAGCCAGCAACTTGAACGTGCCGACTGCCTGACAGAATCCGAGTATCACCCGCCTTCCACCTTCTCCTTTGTGGCTTACTTTACACTGTGTTTTATGATGGGTCCCGCGGCTTTAGCTTTCACGAGCAGGTTGTCAGGTGTGCTTTATCAAAGGCATTTAGAAAATCCAGATAAACGATGCCGTGTGTCCCGAAACTGCCAAACCTATATTTTACATCTTCACAATGCTCCACAATTTTCTTTCAGCTGAATCCCTCTCTTCCTCCGGTTTACCTTTGCCTCCCTGACCCTGAGGTCTGTCAGATCGGTGGAGACCCTGCCATTTTTGACACTGCACATCCCCGGCTATGTTGATGCCGTGTCTGGAGGACATTACCCGGGGCGATTATCTCAGCCTCCCTGAGTAGAGGAGCCTCTGGGAGCTACTCAGGCCTGGAGGTGAGGTGGGGAGAGGAGAGCTGAGGATGAGGAAAAGAGACCAAGGCGGTTCGGCAAGAGGGAAGTTCCAGAATAACACCGTGTGCATGTGGGCTCCTCACCCTCGTCAAGGCAAGGCCTTGGCAGCCCCCCCGTTCCTCTTCCAACTCTCCTGGACGGAAACAGACTGCGCAGGCGGCCCACTCTTTCCTGTTCCCCCTGTCTACTCTTTCCCACTCTTCCCAACGACTATGTACAGTCTTTTTAAACCGTCCTCACCAAACATCATCAAAGGGCTCAGTGTTCACGGGGTGGGTGCTGCTCAGAGTTTCCCTTAAGCACCACCTCCTGGCAGGGGATCTTAACAACTCTGTTCACGCAGACATTTCTCAGCCGGTAGAGATTTATTTTGTACAGTGATTTTCTCCCCTCAGTCTTGATGAAACTTCCCTTTCTTTTTCCCTAAGGTCACCATGACCTTGACGAGCAATAAGGTGCAGTACAACTGAGTCTGACGGCAAACTTCACTAATGTAAAATCAGATTAGTCTTAAGGTTGTCTTAAATCCTGAAATGATCGGCGTACGTCACACAGTAGACTGGGTGACCTTTCTGTCTTGATTCTTTATTAGCTAAGTAGCGAACTGTTAACCTGGTTCCCTTGGAAGTTATGCAAATTAATTAATGTTTGGAAAATGACTTGAAAATTTAAATCGGTCTATAAATACCAAACAGTTGCATCTCCTCTGCTGAGAGGACCCAGGTAATTCATAACCTCCTGTAATAAAGGTAAAAATAGTGTCCTTGGGCCCAACAAGCAAGTGTGATTTATATGCAACACATATCATCTTTAAAATCCAGAAACCATTTAATAGAAACAATCCATATTTCATAACTATAATAAAAGCATTTTGTGACTTTAGGAAAAGTAATTATCTCCTGTAACTGATCTAGTCATGATGTCTTTAACCATTTCTGAAATCTGCATGAGTTCATCTTTAACTGTTAATGTTGACTGATATATTTATCTTTAAATTCTCCCAGTTCTTTTTTTTGCCCTCAAAACACTAATATGCATCTCCTGGGGAATTTGCCTGTACAAAACTTTGCTGTATTCAAAACCTCCTCTGTCAAGATTTAGCGCTTTTATATTGAAGTCATTAAAATTGAACAAAATCTTAATAGTTCCTTTATTAACTACTATCTTGACTTTGCATAGTGGAAATCACAACATGTTAATTGGATTTAATTAACTATTTTAAATTACACAAACTCCTGACAGTAGACAATAGCACCGGGAGCTCATGAGCAATAAAATTGGAGCTGATATTACTCCTTTATTAAAACTTAATGAAACTATTCATAATCTTATTTATTGTTTACAAGAAGAAAACTGTGTTCATTTTGAAAGCAAAAATGTCTGCTGAAAACAAATTTTGGATCATCTAGGTGAAGGTTCAGAAGTTAATAAAAGGGTCCACCACTTCCAACCTCACGGTTCTGCCAGCTTCTCATCGCACAAGTCCCTATTTCATCCCCGTACCGGTCTTACAAGAGGACGCCAGTAAAGGTGAGTGATTCAATGGCCACTTTATGTGTGCAGGAATGTTGTATGTGGAAGGGAAAGAGTGCTAAGGTGGAATCGGAGGTCTAGGTTTGAATTCGGGCTCAGCCACTAGTTGTCCTGGTTGACCTCAGACAAGTCAGGTCCTCCCTCTGGCCTGGGTGTCCTCCTCTGTAAATCAGAAGGTTGGACTCGATGATCACTGGAGTCCCTTCCACCTCTAAAATCCGTCATTCTATGGATTTAATATTTATTTAGACATTGGTGTTATTATGTATTAAAATTATTATTGCATTTAAGTGACATTATTAGAATTTTTCAAGCTTCTGAACAGATAGCTTTTGAGGCTATTCTGGTAGCATTTAGAAAATTTATTTCAATATACTATTATGCAGAAATCGGAAGCTAGTATTAATGTAATTAGCATTTAAACCATACAAGTCTTGGTCTAAATTCCAGTCTTTGTGAAACCAGTGGATTTCTAGTTTTTAAGCAAAAGATCATATCACTTTTATCTCCGTATCCCCAGTGCCTAGAGCCATATCTAATATTTGGTAGATACTAACTATTGGTTGAATGAATAAGCAAATGAAAGAGTAAGTGAATGGATGACTAAGGACTGAGTGTCCTCAGTGTAACCCTCTTTACCTCTCCCTGCTACTTAATTTAATTGGCTGAAGTGTTAAAGAATGCCTAAGCGGGTCCCCTTTCATATCTCAAATATAACCAAGTGAGATGGTCTTTAATTATTCCTATCTCACTTTCTATCTGCTGTCTGGAGTCTTTTGGACCTGTGGTTCCCAAGGGTGCTTCTGGCACCTGGAGATTTAAAGGGCTCCATCTTGGAGCTCCTTTATCTTCTGACTGTTCAACTGGGGGTGGAGGTGCAGCAAAACTCAAGAGAACTCAGCATCGGCCTAAGTCTGAATTTGTTAAGCTTCCCGCAACTGTAACTATTACTTGCCTAGTTAGGAACCATTCTTGTTCAGAAATCTTTGTGACATAGGCTTTTAGTTAGTTTGCACAATATCTACTCCCTGGGAACACCAAAAAACTCCGGCAGAGTTTCTATTTCTTGTTTTAGTCTCATCTTGTATTCTTCCTGGATCAGATTAGGGGGAATGAATGAATCAATTGATCCACCCTTGCTTTAGCAGTAAACACAATAAAAAAAATTGCTGCAAAGCAAAGATAAATCTAGAACTATGGCAACTTGGTCCAGAAAAAAATTACATTTTCATCCCTCAATTATCTACCAGAGAACACATGGCCTACCATAATATTCGTAATTAATCAACATATATTTATTAAGTACTTGCCGTATGTCTGGTGCTGTGCAAGGTAATATGAGTGTCAGGAAAGCACAAGCTGCAGAAATGCAGATGCAGTGTCTAGGTTTTTCACATGTTCCTGATGCTCTTAAATGTCATTTAAGCCTCATTCCAGGTCTACACGAGTCCTACATGAGTTGAAAGATTAACAACATGCAAAAGAGAGAATCATTTTGAAAAATGTATGGCAAACTTCCCAGCTTTTTCTTGAATTATCTTGCTAAATTCAAAAAAGACAGCTTACTTTCTTTGTTTTTTTTTAATGGTTATGAATGTGTGTCTCACAGTACGCAGACCACATTTTCAACTCAGGCTCTGTGTGACCTCGGGGAAGTTGCTCTCTGATCTTAAAATAAACCCTAAACTCCGTAGAGAAGGCATGGCTGACCTGGCCCTCACCCCGTTCTCATGCCACTCTGCTGTCTGCGCTCCAGCCGCGGGCCGTCTCTCCTCATCCGCCCGTCGCATTTTCCTATCAGGCCTTCACAAGCGCCTTCACCTCGCCTGTAAAAGTCACTTCCTCACTATCTGTCTTTCTCCTTCATAGATGATTATGTTGTTTGTAACTATATTCTTTATTGTCTCTCACTCAACAGGAAATAGCTCTCTATAAGACATTAATCCATTTACAGAGATCACCAAATCCCCACTCATCGTAGCTACCAACAAGAAATAATTTCTCAACCATAAATGAACCAAAAGTAAAAACAAGACACAAAATTAATAGGGAGTAATACTAAAATTAGAAAAACAGTGTCAACAAAGTTCTATCGCCTCTTTGAACTTAGCCATGGGAGCCAAGAAAATACGTATCTGTGCTTGGTTCCCTGTGAGGTGCACCTTTTCCAGCAATTTCAGATGAATCTTTGGCTCGCCTTGGTGGAATCTCTAAAATTCTTAAAGGATATATATTCCTTAAAGTAAAATCATAAATATCATATAAATATAAAATGAATACATGTCAAAGATTTTGTTTAACTCATTAAGTAAGGGAACCAGTAAGATGTTACAGTTGATTCAAAGGAGAATCCAAACAACAGAGACATTTATAAATCGAGAATACTGAAATAGATTTGCAAATGGATGCAAAACTGGCTTTTGGCAGGGGTTGGAAGAATTGCCCCTCCATGTGACAGAATTTATTTGCATGTGTATAAACAAAAATTATTTGCATTGCTTTCAGTTTTCCATAAATTAACTTTAATCTCTACAGAACTGTAAAATAAACTAATCAAAACCAAAGGTAATTATAGGATCAGATAATCTCCAGAGGTTCCAGCACTTCAATGAAAAGATATCCAGTAATCTCTTTGGCTTATTCTGAAGTCTTAGATTTTTCCCTCCAATGGTAAATGTGAACATGTGTGTTTGTCTAAAATTAAATGAATTGCTTCAACCAGTGCTAAAGCAAGGGTTAAAATCAGGCTTATATTCTTTGAGATTCTCAGAGAGTGAAACTAACTCTGGTAATTAAAGTATACTGAGTTAGAGGGAGCATTGTTTTCATATCTGCAAAGCAGGCATAGCTCTTGGAAATGGGATTTGATATCTCTAGGTGGAAAATATTTGTGAGGACAAAGAATTAGTCTTAATATTTTAAAGTAGTTAAATTTGGTATTATAAAAATTTTTAAATGAAGTGCTAATTTCAAAAAGGGATTGACGAGTTCACTCTGGATTGGTAGTTCTTAAGTTTTTTCCTTCTAGTTGTGGCATGTGGGACGCTGCCTCAGCGTGGTTTGATGAGCAGTGTCATGTCCGCGCCCAGGATTCGAACCAACGAAACACTGGGCCGCCTGCAGCGGAGTGCGCGAACTTAACCGCTCAGCCACGGGGCCAGCCCCGGTAGTTCTTAAGTTTTAAGAGTACACAAGATTGACTTGGATGCTCATTTAAAGTGTAGATTACTGGGCCCCAGCTCCAGTGGTTCTCAAACTTCAAGGAGCATAACTATTTCCTGGAGGCTTCAAAAATGCAGATTCCCAGGCCCGGCCTCAGAAATTTGGACAGGTCTGGGATGGGGCCCAGGAATCTCCATTTTTAATAAGAAATTCTCCCCCCAAATGATTCCGCAGTGAGTAAACTGAAGATTTCTCTTTGGAATCATTGTTTTACCAGTGAAGTCTTCTTCAGCTCTCCGATCCCTCAGTGATCATTCTTCTGAATTCCTAGAACACTAGACTTCCACATCCTTAATAACAACATAATATAGTCATAGAGGCCGTAAAGCCGAGGGAAACGATATTTGTCCCTCTTAGAATGTATGCCAACTTCTTTGGCTTAGTCCAGGTTGGCATGCGGTTTGTATCTAGGATTTCCTTGAGACCCAGAATTCTTTACTTCTCTTTCTATGACGTGAGAGCAGCAAGAAGCTGCAGCCCTATCGCGAGTTTCTGTCAAGCACTCCTCAAGTTTCTGGGCTTCTGGCTTCAATACAATAGATCCACCTTAATGAAAATTTTGCCCCTGACAGCAGGCTTTGTTCAATTATTCATTTACTCATTAATTTATTCATTTGTTTATTTTTTTTTTACAATGCCTCTTGTCCTTAAAAAGCTTTGGCACCAGCTATGCTGACACGGTATGAGTTCTGGGCATTGTAAATCAGTTGCATTAATACCAACCATTTTGCCCAGTTACACTAAAGTAACCTACTTGGGCATTCATATCTTCTGGTGATAGGAGCAATATCGAAAAATAACTCTTTCTTTTATAAAAGATGGCATTACAACAGAGGCATAATTTTAAACACACAGGTTTTCTTTCTTTCAGAACAAAACATTTCCTTAGTTATTACAACTGTGATCTGATTTCTCCAAATTTTTTAAAGAATAACAATATTATCAATAATTGAAAATGTTGTAAGCATGAAGAAGTTTTAGTTTACCTTGAAATTATATTTCTACCTTAAAATACAATTATCATAGTACAAGTTTATTTCATAATACCACTATTAGAAATGCCATTTTTTCTTGGGTTAGAATATGAGGCTTAAATGTACAGGTACTATAGCTCTTCTTTCATGCAAAGGATCACGACATTAGATGTCCTCTCACAAATATGATAATGGATAGAATAAGTCACACTTGTGAAATCTATAGAGCTCGGACTTTGTGGAAATGCTTGGAGTTAAATTCATGTTCTTCTAACCTTCCTTTTTAGGGGTTTTAAGTATGATAGAGCGAGGATTGATTCCACCAACAGCAAGGATTACCTTTCAGAATCCACCCGTTTTACCAAGAGCGGCTCCTCTGCATAATTTTGGTGAAGCACATAGGATTCCAGCTGCCGGTGAGACAGTCTTGCCTGTATGCTTATTTGGGGATACACCCAAGTTGCCTCCCACCAAAATCTAGTCTTCTAGCATCCAACTTTGATTTCCAATAATAGGACAAGATGCAAGTTGTAATGATTCTGAGTTTCATTTTACTGTGTAAAGTAAGTTTAGTCTCTTTGTAAAATACTTATTGAGGGCCTGTGTGCTCTTTGTGTTAGAAGGTTAGTGTTTTCAAGGAGCTTACAGCTTGGTTGGGAAAACAAGACAGACATAAGAAAGATAAATAATAATACAAGTAGCATAGAATAAAAACCAAATGTATGTTAAAGTCTAGTGACACAGGAGTTCAGAGGAATGACTACTGAGAGGTGAGATGATAGAAGAAGACCAAAGAAGAAACAGGATGGAATAGGGTGTTTGACAAAAGCGCCAACCTGAAATCTACTGACTAGTTGCAGAACCTCCGGCAAGCCATTTAATTTCTCTGGGCCTCAGCTTTCCCAGTTATAAAATGAGGGATTTTGGCTAAACTAAGTCATCTGTTCAACAACTATTTGTTGAATGCTTGCTTTATCCGAGGTAGCATTTAGGCGCTGGGGATGCAACAGAGACTAAGACAGACAACATTTCTGCTCTCATGGTGTTTACATTCTAGTGGGAGATACAGATAATAAGCAGGTAAGCAAATGAGAATTTAAGCTAGTGCGAAGTGCTAGAAATAAAATAAAACAACATGGGTTAGAGAGTGATAAGGAATTGGTTACTTTGCTTGTGAGGGAAGGGTCAGGGAGTGTCTGTCAGAAGAGGTATGAGGCTTGAGATGAGATCCAGATGATGAAAAGGGGCCAGTCATGTAAAGATCTATGAAAGAGCATTTCAGATATAGGACGGCACAGGCACAAAGCCCTGAGGACTAAGGGGGGAATGAACAAGAAGTCTAGTGTGATTGGAGGTCCAAGAGCAAGAGAGAGAAAGGGAGGAGATGAGGCTGGAGAGGTAGAGAGTGGTGACCTGATGTAGACTAGAACAGAGACTATGAGTTGTCCTCAGTATTCGTTCTTTCCCACCTCCACAGTAATAGAGTCATGGGTGGGCACGTGTCATCTTGGCTAAAGACAACATTTCCCAGGCTTCCTTTCAGCCAGATGTGCCACGCAAACAGGTTCTGGACAATGAGGATATAAGCGGAAGTGGAAAGAGAAATGTCTGGACTGTGCCCTTAAGAGGAAAGGACCATTTCCCCTTTCCTTTCCCCTCTCTGGCTAGCTAGGATGCAGAAATGATGGATTTGGGGAGGATAGTATCAGTGGATATGAAGAGAAGTGAACAAATTCAGGTTATATTTTGGAGGTGGAGCCATGAGGACTGGCTGATGGGTAGGCATGAGGTAAAGACAGGCATCAAATATAAATATGTATGAATGTATGAAAGAATATGTATAAATGTACATCAATTTTGTATCCATTCTACTGTTAATGGGAATTTCAACAGTTTATACTATAGAGTTATTAAGAACTATGAACATTCTTGTAAATGTCTTTTAAAGCACATATGTATGCATTTCTGTTGGATACATATCAAAAAGTAGAATTGCTGAGTCATAGGATATACATATGCTCAGATTTAGTAGATATTGCCAAACAGTTTTCCAAGGTGGTTATACTGATTTATTTTCCTACTAGCAGTACAGGAGAATTTCAGATAATATATATCTTTGTCAACATGATATTTCAGGCTTTGTTTTTTTTTTTTTCAATTTTAGCCATCCTGAAGAGTCTATTGTGGTATCTCTTTGTGGGTTTAATTTCTATTTCCCTGGTGACCAATAAAGTTGAGCGGTTTTTTTTGATATCTGTATTGGTCATTTGAGTATCTTCTTTTGTAAAGTGATTTAAGACCCTGAGCTGTTTTTTAAAAAATGAGTTGTCTTTATTTTTCTTAGTTATTTATAGGAATTATGTGTGTATTCTGGATACTAATCTTTTATCAGTTGCATATATTGCAAATAATTTTTCCTACTCTATGGCTTGGCATTTCATTCTCCTGCTGGAGTCTTTTTAAGTTAAACTTGATTTTGAGATAATTGTAGATTCACATGCAGTTGTAAGAAATAGCATGGAGAGATCCTTTACACTCTTAGCTCAGTTTTTTCCAGTAATAACATATTGTAAAACCATAGTACAATATCACAACTGGGGTACTGCTACAGCCAAGATACAGAACATTTCCTTCACCACAAGGGTTCCTCCTGTTGTCATTTTATAGCCACACCCACTTCCCTCCCACCCCACACCCCCTTGTTCCCTGGCAACCAATAATCTGCTCTTCATTTCTATAATTTTATCATTTCAAGTATGTTAGATAAATGGAGTCATATAGTGTGTAACCTTTTGTGATTGGCTTTTTTCACTCAGCATAATTCTCTGAAGATTCATCCAGGTTGTTGCTTATATCAGTAACTTATTGCTTTTTATTGATGACTAGTATTTCATGGTATGAATGTACCACAGTTGTCACACCATTCACCTGTCAAAGGACAGGTGAGTTGTTTCCAGTTTTTGGCTACTATGAATAAAGCTGCTATAAACCTTTGTGTACAGATTTTTGTATGAACATACGTTTTTGTTTTTTTATGATAAATGACCAGGAGTGTAATTGCTGGGTCTTATGATAGTTGCATGTTTACTTCCTCTATATACATTTAGAACCACATCAGATGGTGTTATAATTTTTGTTTCAACCATGAAATATAATTTAGAAAACTCAAGAGGAAAAGGAAAGTCTATTGTTTTTATCCATATTTTTGCTTACCGTGTTGTTTCTTCCTTCCTGTTGTTCCAAGATTCCTTCTTTCATCATTTCCTTCCTATTTAGAGAATTTTCTTTAGCCATTCTTTTAGGATTGGTATACTAGTGACAAATTATCTTCGTTTTTCTTCATCTTAGAATGCCTTGATTTCCTCTTTATCCCTAAAGGATATTTTCACTAGGTAGAGGATTCTGGGTTGACAGTTTTCTTTTCTTTTAGTACTTAAAAAAAAGTTGAGCCACTTCCTTTTGGCCTCCATGGTTTCTGATGAGACATCCACTGTCATTTGAATTGTTTCTCCCTTGTAGGTAAGGTATTGTTTTTCTCTTGCTGCTTCCAAGATGTTTTTCTCTGTCTTTAGTTTTCAGAAGTTTAACTATGTCTTGGTGTGGATTGCTTTGGTTTTTTTCCTGTTTGAGTTTGGCTCAGTTTCTTGAATCTGCAGGTTTGTCTTTTGCCAAATTTGGGAAGTTTTCAGACATTCTTTCTTTGAGTACTTTTTTCAGCTTTGTCTTCTATCCCCTCTCTTTCTGGGACTACAATGATACAAGTGCTGGCTCTAGTCCCACAGTCCTTAAGGCTCTGTTCACTTTTTTCCCAATCTATTTTCTCCCTGTTCTTCAGATTGGGTAATTTCTATTTTTCTATCTTCTAGTTCACTGGTTCCTCTCTCCCCTTTATTCTGTTCTTGAGCCATCCCCTGAAATTTATATTTAGATAATTGTATTTTTCAATTCTAAAATTTTAATTTGGTTCCTCTTTAAATGTTTTATTTTCTTGAGGAGGCTTTCTATTTCTTTGGTGAGATTTTATATTTTTTCATTTGTTTCACGTGTTTTTCTAATTGCTTGTGGAAGCATTTTTATGATGTCTGCTTTGAAATATTTGTCAGATAATTCTAAGATCTCTATCATCTTAATGTTGGTATCTATTCATTGTCTTTTTTCATTCATTTTGAGATCTCCTCAGTTCTTGCTATGGTAAGTGATTTTCAATAGGAACTTTGACATTTTGCATATTATGTTATGAGACTCTGGTGCTTATTTAAATCTGCTTTAGCTGGTTCCTCTGACACTCCTATTTATTCCCTCTGCATTTGAGGAATAACTCCAATTAGTTGGAATATATTGTCTTGGTTATATATGCTGGATTTTATTTGCTATTATTTTGTTAACCATATTTGTTCATGTGTGAGGCTAGCCTAAATTTTTTTTTCCTTTAATGCTTTCCTTAGGTTTTAATATCAAGGTTAGTCTTGCCTCAGTGAGTGAGTGCTATCTCTTCTCATAATCTCTGGAAGAGTTTGGATAAAATTATTATTTCTTTCTTAAATGTTTAGAAGAGTTTACCAGTGAAGCCATTTGAATCTGTAGTTTTCTTTGGGAGTAGGTTTATAATTGTGAGTTTAATTTCTTTGACAGGACTATTTTGATTATCTCTTTTGTCTATGTCAATTTATTAGATTGACTTTGTCCATGGAATTTGCCCATTTCATGTAAACACTAAAATTTATTGGAATAAAGTTGTTTACAATATCCTCTAATTATTTTTGTAATGTCTGTAGGATCTTTGGTGATGTACTTTTTCATTCTTGATGTTGATTACTTCCACCTCTCTCTTTTTTCTTGGTCAGTCTATCTAGGAGTTTACCAATTTTATTAGTATTGTCAAAGAACCAAATTATGTCCTTATTGATTCTTTCTACTGCATATTTTGTATTTTATTGGCATCTGCTCTTATCTTTATTATTTCTTCCTTTTTATTTCTTTGGGGTTTAATTTTCCCATTTTTAAAAAACTTATTGGTACACATGCTTAGCTCATTAATTTTCAACAGTTATTTGTTTCTGATATATAAATTGAAGGTTAAAAATTTCATACAAAGCACTACTTTTGCCAAATCCCCTAAGTTTATGTCATATTTTCATGATCATTTAATTTAAAACATTTTCTAATTTCCATTGTGATTTCTTCTTTGACTATAGACTATTTAGAAGTATATAAAGTTGAGTACTTTGTAGTTACCTTTTTTGTTATTGATTTCAAGCCTAATTCCATTGTTTAGAGAACATACCCTATATGCTGCTTTCAGTTATTTGAAATCTGAGTTGCTTTTTGGCCCTAGCATATGATCAACTTAGGTGAACATGTATTCTGCATTTGTTGGGTGAGATATTCTGAATATATTCAATTAAGTCAGCTTAAT